TGTCAAAGCTGTCCCACCTACACACTAAATTCAGATGAGAACAATTCCGAGGTAAAATGACCCTACTAATTTGAGACTCAAGCCCAAAAAGAGGGTTCAGAATTTGCCTGAATCTGCCTTTCAAGAGACAGTTGTCGTTTTAACAGCGAAGAAGAATGAATGAATGTAGTTCACTCAGTTCCGTGAGAAGGACCATCATCTCAAGAGCACTACAAGTATATCATTAGTTTGAAATGATTATCTTACCACTTGGCCGAGTGGGATTCTTTTACGAAGGATAAAAGGTAAATACTTCTATTTAAGACTTTTAAGAAGTTAAGGGCAGAATAGGTTAAATATAACAGAAAAGACTATTTAATGTATAGACATTTGAATATGGGAATGTACATTTCCGAGGCCAGATTTACACTCGTTATTTCAACAAATGTATTATGTTAATTGGGATATTACACCAATCTGCTTTATTTGTATAAAGTTTTTTTCATATCATACAGAATGATATACTGTTAGAACTAATGAAAAATCATTAGTATGTTTAAAATTCTCTCGAAGTAATAGAAAGAAGAAGAACAAAAACAAGCACAAGAGGAACAAAAAGATGGAGCAAAAAAGAGTAAATCCTTTTTCTATTTATTCACCCGCACAAGCTCCCTCTCACACAGACTCAAAGTGATCTTGTTAGTGCTCTTTCTGCACTGCAGCTTCACTAAATCCTAAAAAAATGGACTGAGAACAAAGTTTACTAATGCCTAATTTATCCAATTTAGAGAAGATAATCTGTTAAACAGCTGCCCACACTGCTGCTTAACATTCTCAACTTCACAGCTGTAGTATAAACAGCGTGACCCGGGTGAACCCTGGGGACCGACAAATCTCAGCAACAAAAGCTACAGCCTTTTATTGTAAGTTACTGGAAATACTGTCATTACAGTCATATTTCAAATGTCTGCATTCAGAGGAATGACTTGTTTGAACTATTTAATTATTTAATTGGATGGATTAGTTAAAGGAATTGCTTCCAGTTCTTTATTTTAAAAATGGTTGTATAAGCTATCAAAAGATGTTTAATAGCTATTTTAATATTCTAATATTTTTTGGTATGAGTCATGCTTTGTTGTTAGTCTTTTTGGAATTAAAGATCTGGTAAAGAACTGGTGACTTTTAAGTGTCAGCATTTAAAACCTTAGGAAACACTTTCTTTTGAATATGAATATTTCCAATAGTTTTAATCTCATGCATTTTAGGTTGGACAGTAATTCAGAATAAAATGATACGTCTTTGCCTGCTACAGTTGTTAATTTAAGGACTGTCAGTGCCTTTTCGAGGGTGTTCACTTATTTAAGAGCAAATAAGCTGCTGTGAGGGACATTTCAACATAATGTGCTGGTAAAATGTTATGTGCTGGAAGTGTGTCACGCAAATGTATTGGTGACACTTTACAAATGCATATTCATTGATGCGAACAAAGCAAATGAACAGCTGCAGTTAGTCCACATGTTTCAGTCATGTTCACGTCTATAAATGTCCCCGGGCAGTTACATCTGCTGTCCACTGCTGGGCTCTTGAGCCATCTGCATTTATGACACAATAAGTCCAAGAGTCATTACTTCTCAGCTCCTAACTCCTGATTGGATCTGTTACTTTAAACACTCGGGCTGGTCTTTCCTCAGCTACCGGCCCCATTCTCCCACTCTTAACACCCCACTCTTCTTTCTCATGAACCCCCTTTCTTCATCCGCACCAGTGTCTCTCACCCCTGCGCCCCCTCTCCCGCCATGTCCATCCCTTCGTCCCCCACCGATTGTGTGTCCACAGGTCTCCCTGATTGGTCATGGGGATTTCTCCTTCTTTTTTTTTGTACTTGTGTGTGTGTATGTGTGTTGCTCTGCCCTTGGTGCTGCCCTGACTGTAGGTGTGAAACGTCAGTCACAAAATTATTCAATCTCTGTCTCTTTCCTCTGAATCATTCTGTGCAACACTCAGCCTTAAATACTGTATATATAAAAGCAAACCATTTTGCATCTTGTTCCAATCAGATTTGGATAATCCTTGCTGCAAATATAAATTGCTTGGAGTTTTAGGAATAAATGTTACATATGACCCAGGTATACTAACTGTCTTTAACCAGACCACTTTAACTAGTCTGCCCAAGTGGTTCATAAGGCAGACGCAGATGCTTCAGAATGCTGCTGTTATGAAGCCATTGCCAAGAAATTAAATCATATCGCTACTCTGGTGGCCTGTTAACCAGAGAGGTCTCTTTTCCTTCACATGGGCATGCTGAAATATTTGCAGTAGATTCTGTTTTTGTTCTCAACGTTTAACTTTGAGTTTTTAGGCACCGCACGTGGCTGGGAACCCCAGCTTTTCTTTTCAAAATCGAATTTAGTTTTAATGCATTTAGTCAAGCATTATCGATCTTCTTGTTTTTGATTGTGTGTGTGGTTCAGTTAATAAATTTGGCTGAAGTTAAAACTTATGATTAATGGGTAGCATTGGAGTTAACATTTGGACCAAATAATAATTATTATAATAATAATTTCAGGTTAAATGAGGATTTTGCGATTCATGACAATATGATTGTCAGTATTATCATGCATTTTCATATATATAGTATATATATATATATATATATATATATATATATATATATATATATATATATTATATATACATATATTATATGTAAAAGATAGATTAACAGGTTTTCAAAGCCAGGATTATATCATAGCATTATAAAGCTGATGTCTTCAAGTCAGAAGAAAGCATTTGTCCCATGCTGGTGGAGTCCCACTTTAATATTAGCAGTTTTAACCCTGTCTGACATTCATAATCTCCATTATTCCTGAGCTCCTGCTTGTCTGACACAGACGGTGGGGATCTGAGTGGTAAAAAGATGCACGTCACACTCACTTGTTAATAGATCAAATCAGCAACTGTATTAGTGTACGAGTGGTCCGTAACCGCCGTGTGTAACGGTCGTGTGTATGTGTGTGTGCCGGGGGGGGCGGCAAACTGTCTGACACCTGCAGCTCTTCAAACTCAAAATGCAAATCCAATCTCACCCCAACCGCACCATGACCCCTCCCTCTAAAATCCGGGGTTACCGAGCAACGACTTTTGTAAATCAAGATTAGATTTAGATAATAATAGAAAAACAGGCAGCACAAACCAGAACATTCTCTTATTTTTCTCTAAATAATATAATGAGGGCAAGATCTCAAACATAATGTAGACAAATTCAGAATTTTTTAAATCTACATTCTGTAACAAAAAAAAACGGATAAAAATGTAAAGTAATTACAGACAGTATTCCCTCTTTCTAACAATAAGATTTAACTCGATCTGTACACAGTAAAGCAAAATGTGACAACTCATAACCAAGGGACCAGAAAAAGCTAAAGAAAACTTGACTTACAGTAAACACATTTTCAGGAGATCTATGTGTTCAAAACTGATAGTTATGACTTTTTCATCCCAAAAGCAGGTGCAGGCACTAAAGTTAAAGCTGCGATCCATTCTTAACCAGTTCCATGGTGGCAGCGTCTGACCTTTGGCCTCGCTGGTGGGATCTGCTAAAGAGTGCTTCCCCGAGGAAAACAAGTAAAGTGGTGCATTCATTTTATTGTTGTGAGCGAAGTAAGTGAGAAAGAGAACACCTGTTTTATTGGACGCCACATTTGCTCTCTGGGGAGGTCAGTGATGCTCCTGATCACAGCCCAGCTCTCTAGTGCCACCCACTGCATGTTGTGGTCAGAGCAACAACACCACACGCAGAGGGACACCTCGCCAACAGGCAAGCACTTAATCCAAGATTGTAAGCAAATGCCAGATAAAACAGAACAGATTTTCAGGCTTTTTCATGCAGTAAAGTTAAATCTTGTTTGATTTACTTTTTGGTAGATTAATCAAAACACAGGCAGCCTCATCTTATGATTTACATATATACACTTAAAGGTTTCATTTGTATGCTCGTTACCTTAATATTAATTTAATAAGAGGAAATAAAGTCACGTTACTTCAGAAGTATTTGAAGTGTCCAGAAGGAGAAAGTTTGACAGTCTGACCCTACCAATGAATCTCCAGCTTGTTTGCAGTGAAGGAGCGCCGCCAAGTGGTCAATAGGAGGTTGGTCACAGCACTGAACGGACTTTTTATTTAGCACATTCTCTTCACCAGTTTGGAAAAAATCTATTTTTGAACTATTAATAAACAAAACCTTTTTAAAGCAATCGCTTATTAGAATTCATGTTATAAATATGATGTTTTTTCTGTTTTTCATTTGATGTTATCCCAAGCAGAGCGTTTTATTGACCTTCAGGAGCATCAGGAATCAGTTGGGGCTTTAATCTGCATGAGGTGACGTACAGCGTCACCCGAGTTCTCAATAATACGTTTTAATCGGTTTTACCTGCACAAAACTTGACTAAGTGACGACTTCCTTAATAACTGGTTAAAAAAAATAAAATCAATTTAAAAAATGTTTATGCGCAGGCGGATGAGTATCAAACTTAGATAGATAGATAGATAGATAGATAGATAGATAGATAGATAGATAG